CGGGCGGGAGCTGGAGATGCACACCATCAGCTCCAAGGTGTTCGGAGACATCCTGGACTTCGCCTACACGTCGCGCATCGTGGTGCGGCTGGAGAGCTTCCCGGAGCTCATGACGGCCGCCAAGTTCCTACTGATGCGCTCCGTGATCGACATCTGCCAGGAGGTCATCAAGCAGTCCAACGTGCAGCTCCTCGTGCCCCCTGCACGCCCTGACATTATGCTGTTCCGTCCGGGGGCTGCTGACCTCGGCTTCCCTCTTGACATGACCAATGGTGCCGCTTTGGCACCCAATGGCAATGGCATTGCTGGCATGCCTGAAGACGAAGCCACGCGGGCTGCGCTCACGGCTGCGCAATCCTCCCTACCTGTCCTGCAGGGTGTGGACCGCCTGCCCATGGTGGCGGGACCTCTGTCCCCACCGCTGCTGGCCTCACCCTTCCAGAATGTTGCTGCTAGTGCCCCCACTTTAAGCACCAAGAGGGGCAGAGGGCGTCCCCGTAAAGCCAATCTCTTGGACTCCATGATGTTTGGTACCCCAGGGGGCCTGCGAGAGGCTGGTATCCTGCCTTGTGGTCTCTGTGGGAAAGTATTCACGGATGCTAATCGTCTTCGGCAGCACGAGGCTCAACATGGGGTGACAAGCTTACAGCTGGGCTACATAGACATCCCACCCCCACGACTGGGTGAAAACGGTGTTCCTGGTCAGGATGACCCCGATGCACCTCGAAAAAGAAGCAGGACAAGGAAACAGGTGGCATGTGAGATCTGTGGCAAGATTTTTCGGGATGTGTACCACCTGAATCGGCACAAGCTGTCACACTCTGGCGAAAAGCCTTACTCTTGTCCGGTGTGTGGCTTGCGGTTCAAGCGAAAAGACAGGATGTCCTATCATGTTCGATCGCATGATGGCTCTGTGGGAAAGCCCTACATCTGCCAGAGCTGTGGAAAAGGCTTTTCCAGGTAAGAGGATGCTTGTATGGACCATTGACACAAAGAGAGACCTATAAAGTTGACTTTCCTATCTCTTGGAAATGTACTTAGGATAGTTTGACTGTTCCGCTTTAAAATGTTTCAAGGAGTGAGACTTCCATCATTTCCTCTGGGATGCTATTCTGCAGTCTCTTGGAAGGGTTTAAAAGTAATTAAGACATTGAACTGGGAGTCAGCTGGCTTCTGGCTAACGTTCCCAGCTTTGTCCCAGAGTTGGTTGTATGCGTGTCCTTGGGCAAATCAGTTAGTCTCTCTCCCTCAAATGACTCTTCTGTGAACTGGGTATTGAAATAATTACCTGCCTCACAGAAGTGTCTTGAGAACGCTGATGTGTAGGTAGTTTGAAGGTGCTGTTGAAGTGCAAAATAATACATCTCAAGATTATTATTTTTCTCGTATCCATTTTAAATTTTCTTTTTCTTAACTTCCCTTCATTTCTCTTAGTTCGTAATGTTTTTTATCACCCAAATGTGAAGGAAGAGGTGAGATTTCAAAGGCTGCAGCATCAAGTGTCTTTTAATACATGATCTTTGTGTCCTTTGGGTTTACATCCTTCTGAAGGGGATCCTGTTTCTGCCCTGCAACATACGTAAGATCTGTGCATTTAATGTTGCTGATTTTTTGTTGTCGCTGTTTGTGGGAGCTAATTTAATAAGTAGTTTGGTACACGTAGTTGTGTTAGTGGTATCTTATAGTCTGAGTGAATGAATTTGAAACTTTTTTTGAATTTTGCCGCTCGCTTTGAGTGTAGAAGTAGTGGGGGGGAGGGGGATGCATACACTGCTATTTCTGTACCAGCAGTCGGTTTTCTACAGCACTTGATATCTCTAACACGAGGGAAGGAATCGAGGTCTCAAAACAAATCAAAAGGCCACCAGGCTGTGTAAATTGTGGAACTGTGACCCTCCTTTCTTTTTGATAGAGGGACTTTCTTTTATTGAAATAAATTATGAAAATGTAGCCCCCCCCCCCCTTCTTCTTTTAAATTGGCAGTAATTAGGGATGCATCTTCATAAGGACTGCAGATTCAGTGATGGAAGGTCACAAAATGAAAATTTCATCTGTGGCTAGAAGTCAAAGTACTTTTCTTATAGCACTATCTGGGATCATGTGCCAAGTTTTATTGTTTTTACTGACACTTAAAGATTTCTGCTGTTTCTGAATGAAAGGTTTTTGTCATTAAGGGGAAGTGAGAAATACATGTTGAGTTCCTATTTTCCCCAGTAAGTTAATGTGAACAGGTAGGAATGCTGTTACAAAAATTAACAACAAAACTGTTTTGTGTATCTGTAAAACCGAAGTATGAATGAAAACCAGAGACTGTTAAGTTTCAGTATTCAATCTTAGGAGCAGCCAGAGGAAGTTGGAAGTGTGATGTCTCTTTTTAGTGTCCTTTCCTGTATTCAGTAGTGCAGCACGTGAGCTTGCTGGGCTTGAGGTACCCAGAAGGACCCCAACCAGTCTGTCCGGTTACACCGCTCCAGCCCAGCGCTGGAGCATCGGGTGTAAGAGCCTCACTGCAAAGTCCAGCCTATTTTCTGTCTGCAGTGTGTGAATTCCATCCCGTGCCCTCTCATTGGTGCAGCGGGGAAGTTGGGGGAGGAGAGGGTGGAGAAGTTGTTTCCAAGCAGTTTTGGTCTCATACAATGAAAAGCTTTCTTCCCACTAGGAGAAACTCCCACCAGGACAATCTGCAGCTCTTCAGTCCTTTCTTCTTCCAAGTAGGCTTTGCTGGTTGTGAAGAATGGTCTAACTTTTTACAGTAATAATTTGCTCTTCCATTGCACCTTCTAGTTGGAACGTTCAGAGCACTTTATTTGTATTAATGCAGTCTCCCTACCAAGTTGTAAGTTAGGACTATTTTTTCATCTTGCAGGTGGAAAATGTGTCACAGCAACAGAGTTTAGATAGTCTTTTTTGCAACAGATGCTTAAAATTGGCTTTTTTTCATCTGTGTTTAGGACATAAACCAAAAGGGTCTGATTTTCAAATATTAAGCAACTGTAAATCAAAGTGCCTGATTGTTAAGGTCTAAATAAGATTTTGGATGGGGATGTGCAGGCTTGAAAATCATAATTTGTATTTCCTGTTTCCTCTGATCATTCAGTCATGATTTCTTCCTGAGGAGAAAATGCTGCCTTTTTAGCAAGTTGGAGAGGGTACATAAGGTAGAGTCCCAGTTGTTGGTGATCTGGTTCTTGGAAAGTTAAATATCACTACATTTGTCATAAATACAGCACTGGGATTTTTTTTTCTTTTCTTGTTAAAATTGTAACTTTATTTTTAGTATTTGTTTTAAGTGTGCTTATGTGTATTTTCCTTTAAGGCCAGACCACTTGAATGGACACATCAAACAGGTGCATACCTCAGAGAGACCTCACAAATGTCAGGTAGGAGCCAGACTGATGTTGTGGGTAATGTTTGGCATTGCATTTATGTGTACAGACAATTTTGAAGTATCAGTAGGAATACCGTGTATATGTGATTTGGGATAAATGTTTGTAAAGAACAGTGTTCCACAGTGACATCTTCTTTACCTCCCTCCTGTCCCCCCTTGCCTCATCTACAGCTTTGGTCCTCCTGCTTCCCCCCCTTCTACCAGATGTTCTTCCCCACTGTGCTGTCCCAGTCTCACCCTGGATCTCTTATCCAGCCACCTGGGCTTGGAGTCAATGTCACTGATTATTCCCTCCCTCTTTTTTAAATTGCAGTTGTTGCCATCAGGAGGCTCCAATGCTGACTTCATTTTTTTAGAATAACTTCAATAAATAATTAGTAAACTGTAATTATCATAACTTGTCTAGATACTACTTTTTTACATTGCATAGCTGTCAGAACATTGCACTGAGCAAAATTGGAAGCTTTTTTTTATCTCAGAGAGAATATAAATAATGGCATCACAGTATCCCTTGTTGTACAATGTCATAATGTTGTATATAGTTTTTTACAGTTAATAAGGTTTGAAAGACCAAATGAAGGAAGACATTTTATAATCCATTCATAGAGAGATTTAAAAGGTGCCTGGAAGTATCAATTAAAACAAAGTTGAGAATCAGCTTCCACCATCACACATTGCCATCAGAGAGATGTTGGGCAAACTTTCAAAATAGTTGTTGGGCTAACAATCTCCATGCTTGTCTTCTGAATAAATATTTAATATTTATTTAAAGAAGCAGGAGCAAGATTATTTTCTTTTTTTTTTCTTTTGAAGACAGTGAAGGTTAGAGGATTTTTTCTTCTAAAATATTTAACCACGTTTTATGAACTTGGACAATCCTACATGATTGCTGCCTCCTGATCTGCATTGTTTCACGTTTTGACACACCTATATTTCCTTCAAATTGTGAGAGTATCGATACATTTTGAAATTTTAAGAATCCTGAGAAGTTTTCCAGACAGCTGGAGCCATTTAAAGATTTCTGTTGACATCCATATGATCTGTGAAAGCCCAGAACATTTGAAACTCAGGCCATAGAGCTGTCACATTGTCCTAGATAAAGCCTTAGATTGTCTCAAGCTTCTTGAGATGATTTTATGTGTTACAGATTTATACAAACTGGAAAATTCCACTCATAAAAAAATTCACAATGTGGGGACAGCAAGGGGTCTATGGATGAACTGATGGTGGATGTTTATGTCCCAACATGAACAGACACACCTCAGTCTTTTGCTACTTGATGCCAAGATTACTGGATGAACACTTTAAAAATTACACAGATAGCTATGAATTGTCCTTTGCCAACTGATGAACAACAATTCTTTTATAGTCTAACATTGATTTAAGAATATTAAATATCAACTCCATGTGAATCAGAGGATACACTAAGAGCTCAGAAGTAAAGGAACATGGAAGCTAAGATGGCACAGCCAAGCTCAATGCCATTTCCTTGCACACTTGTATTTCGTGATAGCACTTTCCAAGAGCAGTCTTTCTTACTGTGTTGTCTTAAAGTGCCATAATACTGTATGCACTGTTCATTTCAGTTAAAAGGTACTAGTCTATAGGTTATAATCATCAGGACAGAGTTGAGATTGTCCTTCAGGCTTGTTTTGTTCTTGATTTTTGATTGCTTAGCCCTGCAAAGTTAATTTTTCATTAATCTTAAGGCACAGAAAATTTGTTAATGACCTATTGTGTGTCTTTGCAGAAAATGCTTTGTAATATCCTATCAGATTTAGAAGGTCTTCTTGAATATGCACAGATCTGCTATACATTGTAGAAACCACAGAAGGGGTGCAGTCACTCAAAACTTGTTTCAAATCTGAAAACTGATGTATAAATTGATAAAGTTCTCCCTGTGATTATCTCATAACCAGTTACACATCTGTTCCATTATATATATATATATATATCTAACACAGGATCTGGCCACCAAGAAGGAAAAGAGCTTAATATTGGCATGTTGTTTCCCCTTTTTCCATTCTCTTTTTCCACTGATTTTGTTTGGCAAATTAGTTCCCCCTGAGAGCAGCCTGAACAGCATTGAGCATCATTTTTGAATCTTTTCAGTTCCTGTTGAAAATTCCTGTTATTGTCATGCTTTGTTTATGTTTACTGGAAAAGAGAATTAGCCTGTCAGTAAACAGAAGAGCACTCCAGAATCCTCTATTGCAATGGCATTTTTGGAATTTGTGCTCTGTTATGATTGAAACAAACGGGCCATTTACCTGAGCTCTTATGTATCTTTGCAAACCGGTGATATGTATGTAATGTTTCATTGGTGTGGCATCACAGTACACTTTGGAATACCAAAACGAAAGTGGGAAGGTGTCAACCCAACTTCAGAATAAATGAAAGTATGAGAAACGGGAGAATTTTAAGCTGAACATCCCTGCAACAGCTGTAGTTTTCAGTGCTCAGTTTGTAATCCTACACTCATCCCCCTGAAATAATGGCTGTGCTTCTCAGATCTTTCACAAACAACCTAATTTCCAGTACCTGTAGTACCTGATGCCAAAGTCTTGACTCCAGCTTTTTCATTACTGTTAAGATAGACTCAGATTAGGGAAGATCTCCAGAGAGCCAAAGCAGCTGAGAAATCAGATCCAAGGAGTTGTCCAGGTGTCTGGGCAAATGGTACTCTGGATCTTTTCCCTTGGATGGTTGCACTGGTGAATTTATTTTTTTTTCCCCAGTCTGACAGTTGAGTCCTGGCTATAGGAGAAGGAGTGAGTCAGTTTTGTGGCCAGAATGGGGCAGCTCAGTTATTGACCCCATGGGATGGGGTGAAGCTGTCAGCTTTGGCGTGTCCATGTATGAAAGTCAGGCTGCAGTTTGGGAGCAAACAGTGATCTGAAAATTTGTAGACGTGAAAAGAACAAGGGGAGAAAAAAGAAGTTTGCTTTTCTCAGAGACAAGACAGGTTGTTGTGGCACATTAAATAACCAAGAAAAATATAGGTTAAATTAAAACACAACTTAATTGGCATCCCAAGTCCAGTGCGTATCCCATTGATTTCAATGCAGAATGAGTTTCTTCCTGTCCTAATTTCTCTTACTTCCTGCCTATTAGCAGGAAAATGGCAGCCACCATGGAATAAGCTCAGAGACATCCACATCCATAGAAAAGTTGAAACTTCAAGAGGTATTTCTTAAACAATGTTTTTTAACTATACCTTTTATAAATATTAACTATTTGAATATTAACTTTGGGGTTTTCTTTAACCCTAGTCCTGTCTCCCATTGTTATGATTCAGCTAAACCGGTTCTTGCTTTCTCCAATGGACTTAATTGTTTTTAAGCTTTGTTGCAGATATATTTATATATAGCTTATCCAAAGGTGAGCTTTACACAACTCAGCAGCAACAGTGAAAAATCAAACACATAAATTATTATATTGTTTTTTCCTAAGCTTTCAACTTGCTAAGTTCACTGTGGGATAGATTTGGTTTTACGTTGGCATCGCTGTATTTATGTGATTTGTCTCTGGTCTGCTTCTCATCGGCTAATGCACTCCCAGTGCTTGGGTATGGACCCTCCTGCAGCTCCATAGCTTTATAGTTAATGATGATGGATCTCTTGGCTGTCATTGTTGATAGTCTAGCTGATATCCAACAGATTGATTAGTATCAGGGCTGCAATCCTGCCTTAAGAGAGTGCTTACCTCTAAGAACGCTTTAGTAAGTGAAAGCTGCACCTCTTTTGCTCAGCGCTGTGTACTGAGATTACAAAGGAAGAGAAATCTTTCATGTTCAAGAATTTGCCTCTTAAACCTCAATACTTGTAATTTATAAATCTCTGTCTGGTGGGCCTAATTAAACTGTGTATGTCGCAGAAATCCAGATAATTTTACTGTTGCCTTTTAAATTTCATTAAGTTCTGATCCTCTGAGGTGTTAAGTCTTGTACGTGCTGCAGAGCAACCTCATCTTCATGGGAGTTTTCCACACTTAAGCATCTCATAGGATTGAATGAGTGTAAAGCCTGTTGAAATTGATAGGTGCTTTTCAGCTGCTTTCAATGGTTTTTGGATTAAGCTCTTGCTTAACTGAATTTTATGTAATTACGTTATCCTCTTCTGTATTATCAATTTCACTTACTTGAATTATAATTTTGGAATTTTACGAAGATTGTTACTTTAACAAGTCTTGTCTCTATTGAAGCAGTGATTTGATTACACACTGATATTTAAAAATACAGATTATACCCAGTTTCCAAGACATTGAACAGCCTCATATTTCTTTGGGGATTCTGGTTATAGCTCTTAAAATTGTGTTATTTTATATGAAGTTGGTAAAAACAAAACACTGTACACTCTTGAATGTCACTGCACCAGCTTGGTCTGGTCATTCTGATGTATGTTTGCTTTTCTTGCACTTATGAAATGGTTTAGACTGTAATAACATGTGCAGCATATTGCTGGTGATTTATTTCCCTTCACACATTAGAGACAGAACAAGCCTTTCAGAACTGGCAGGCCACTGTAACAGGCTGTGGGCACAGCCTGCCTGCCCACTGCTGGGGTTATAAAAATGGGAGGGAGCCTTCACTTATCAGACAGATTTCAGCTGGAAAGTGGGAAAATAGAATCAATATTATGCAAAATCAAGCTTGTTTTGTGGTAGTAAGTGGAATATGTTACCTTGACCAGGGGTAAGTTAAAACAGATTACAATGTCATGCATTGACAAATGCAACTGCTCAGTTTTGAGGCTTCACTTCTACAGTTTGTCTGCACTGCTGCTGTGGATACCAGGATGACTCTTCTACTGTCTCTTGTCATTGTCATCCCAGATAATTCTCTGATCCTTTGTTTGTGTATCTTCACACTCCAAAAGAATTCTGTGTACTGAAGTGAGATTTATCTCATCAAAGAATAGAATTTAGGAAAATGACAGAGAGGACACTTGAGTGGTTTAAAGTGATTGGAATGGCTCAGTGGAATGGCAGAACTTACTGTAAGTGGAACAAGGTGGCTTCTGCTATTTCTTCTGTTAAATATTACTTAAGCCTTTAGTATCTTCACCCTCAGAAAGGAGCTAAAGCCTTACAAGTCTATCTTGGTGTAAGTTTTACTGTCTGTAGTGTATCAGAGCTGTTTTCTTGCTGCTTTAATTCTTTTGAGTAGTAGCATTACATCTTGTGCAATGCATTGGCGTTCTGAGCTTTTCATCTGGGGGAAAAAGGCTTGTGCATCATGTCATTTTTTGTGTTTGCACAGGATCTAAGGTATTTACTCTATAGAATACTAAATATATTCAACAATATCAGTGCTGTTAGCAGAGCTGATGAGTCACATGGTTCTCGTTATACCTGCAGACTTGTAATGCTTCCTTTGCCACTCGGGACCGGCTGCGCTCACACCTGGCATGTCACGAAGACAAAGTTCCATGCCAGGTGTGTGGGAAGTACTTGCGAGCAGCATATATGGCAGATCACTTGAAGAAGCATAGCGAAGGACCAAGCAATTTCTGCACTATCTGTAACCGAGGTAATGAAGAAACTATTTTTTTATTCCAGTGGGATGGGACAGCACTTGAGGGGAGCTGTATGGCTGCGTGACTCTGCAACAGGAGGAGGTTGTACCCTATTTGTGTACATACTCTGCCTTTCCTACTGACTACTTAACCCTGAAACTGATGGAGTATAGGTCTAGCCTTTTCACATGGCAGATAGTTCCCAAAGAAACTCGTTTTATATCTGAAGCAAATTTTATTTGCTAAATAGCCAGATCCATATACAGAATAACCATGATAAGTTGCCTTGCTGCCATTCAACATACATTTTTGTTTTTCTATACCTGATTAGATTTAAGCTCTTGCAGTCAGTTTGGAAGAAAAATGTTTTTGTATCTTTGAAATGCACATTAAATTGAAAATCATACACTGAACATAAATCTACATTATATTACCAAGTCTTAACCTCCTGGTGCAATAGAGTCAAGCTGCTTCTCCCTCTTAACACAAAAAAACTGTTTTGTACTAATGTACATTTCTAAAACATGCTTTGTAAAGAGCACTAGAAATGTGCTTTACCTTTATTTGTACAAATACAGCTTTTCACAGTTGGAAGGGACCCATAACAATCACCGAGTCCAACTCCCTGCTCCGTGCAGCACCATGTAATACTAAACCATATGACTAAGCTTACGAAGCTTTTCCATCTGTTTGGGGTACTCTTCAGTTGGAGAGAGTTGGAAATTTAGGCTTTGTGGGATGTAAGGCAAGCTGGAAAAATTATTTTGACTTATTGGTGACTTTTTTGTGAGGGATTAATTCACAGGTTCAGAATGCCTTTTTGGCTCACACAGGTATACATTGCTAGTAGGTGTTAGAAGAGATTGCTGTGTTTTGGGATATTTTTTTTCCTGTGAGTTTTTTTCCTGACATGTGTTCTGTTTTCTAGTTTAAGAGAGGTGAAATCTTTTGAAAAAAATTAAGCTCTGCTGTGTTTAATGTGCAGACTGTACAAGGAGCTTTTGGAGTTGATGAGTGATGAGACATTAAATTGCAAGGGAGGTGTTACCACTAGTTGAACAGCCTGTGAATCCTGAAAGTGATGTTATGAGTGTGAGTGGAAAAGGCATCTGGGTTGAAAATCTTAAGGTTTTAAAGCTCTAGGTAGATGGTGTGAAATGAAGCTTGCCCTCCTTTTCAGCTGAAGGCCTGGCTTCTGAAAAACGGCTTAAGCTTATCCTGATTCTTTTTGTGACAACAACATGGATGATACTGTTTGAGATCCAGGCGCTCTCCTTCTGTTGAACGTGGTGTCAAACAAACTCAGATGGGTTGGGAGGAATTGTCTTGTTCCCACGATTTGTAAGCTTGAATTTCAACTTAACTACCAGTGGATGTCACTGCAGCTCTTCAGAAATGGAGCCAGTGTGACAAAGACAGACCCGGTATTCAAACAATAAAATGACTGAGTGATTTATTCACATTTTACAAATCTAAATGTACAGTGGCGATTTAAGTAAAATATATACTTTGCTGTAGAAGGATAGGGAACCTGTTGTACAGGTTCAAACTTCAAGCAACTGCTTTCTTCTTAGAGTTTGTGTATTTCATGGGAGTTATTGGAATTGTCTGCTGTGAATTTCAGTTCGCATCAGGATTTCTAAAATGTAATTATGAATAATGTTTAACAGGAAGTGTTAAAATTCATAGAAAGGGGAAGCTACAGACTGGATTTGTCAAACAATTGCGTTGTAAACTCGTTTTATGCTGTAAATTTTGATTATAGATTTGTGATCAATGACAGCAGATTTTTTTAAGCCTAGATGTTCTAGAATCGAAGTATAATGCTTATTGTTTTAAACAGTTAATTTTTAAATTGTTGAGCCTGGCAAGATGAAGTCTAATGGAAAATTTCTGGATTAGAAATATCTATTTGATAGGTATTGGTGCAGTCAGAAGCCACACACAGTGACCTGATCACAGCTGTGCCATGGCTGAGGTGCTTGTGCAGTGTGATTTTGTTTATTCTTCCCTTGGCTAATATGCTGATGTATTTTTTAATTGAAACTTAGCTGGTTCTGGATATAGTAATTGTCAGCCTCTGGATATAGTAATTGTCAAGCAAGAATGCTCTACAAGCTCAAGCTGCTTGTGGAGAGAATTTTGGATGTTGGCCACTTAAAAAAAAAGTGGATGAAAAGGTGACTCTACACAGCTCAACACTCCCAGTGCTAATAACAGAGCTTAGACTTCCTCAGTTTATCCTGCTGGGCTGAAGGCTTTCTGTGGAACTTAATGAAGTGTATTACATTGTTTTTAAGGTTTAGTGGGTTTAAGAGATGTGGATGGAACTCAGTACCTGGCAGAAAGCAGTAGTCAATGGTTTGCCATGTCACGTGGCTCATTTGTTTATCATACTTACTTCTTTTACAATGTGGCAGTATGATTTTAAAGAACTATGAGCTGTGATTTGATGTTTTATCCAGGTTGTTTCCTTACTTGAGGTTTTTATGCTTAGAGCAATCATGGAAACAATTAAAACTTGTTAAATCAGGGAAACAGTGAAGCAATTTGGAGGGGTTTTGTGTTGGTTTTTTTTTTCCCCCCGGGGATTTTGGGGTTTGTTTTGGTTTCTTTTTCTTTTTCTTTCTTGGTTTGGTATTTTGTTTCATTTTGGTTTTTTTTCTTAAAGAATTTGTCTAAATTGTGCTTAAAAAACTAATCCTCAAGCCTCACTTTTTAAGACAAATTATCTTTAATGAGTTTAAATAAAGAAGACATGCTCCTGATGCGTTGTTACACAATCTTCTATTGCTATCCTTAGGAACTTTATTTGCTTGTGTGGGCTTTTTCAAAGAATTCTAGAGATTAATGACTTAGGCAGGTCTAGAGCTGATACTTAGTAATAACACGTACAGTTCAGAAGTCTGGGTTTATGTTTCAAACACATACAGATTGTTTCACAGAATCAGATTAGTTAGGAAAAGGGTAAATATTCCAATCACAAATGAGAAATTATTTTCACGATGAGTTCTTGTACATTTCATGGTGGCAGAGTCCATTAAAGCAAGACACATTCTCCTTATGTTCCAGCTAAATCCAAATTACAATTTTTGAACAAGGAGCATCCTGCAATTATTTCTACAGTTTATCTCCTTATAAATCTTATCTAAGATATCAAGGGGTAGGTCCCATTTATATAAAGGAGATAATTTCTTCTCTATACATATTTTTAATATTGGTTGTTCTGGTATGAAGAAATAATCTGCCCTGCAAAGTAGAGAGATGTGTATGAGTAAAGTAATAAATACATTCCTTCTCTGGAAAACACTGCCACTTTATCCTCTGGATTAGTCTGACTTTCCTCTGAAAGAGACTTTTAAGAATGAAGGATTATGGTTTATGAACCCCCATCTTCCTAGGACAGGCATTCATAATTAAAGTCTGGTGGAGATAAAAAGACCAGTGCTACGTGCTTCAGGAAAAAAATAGGATGAAAACAACCTCAAAAACATCTCTCTTGAAACAGTTTCCCACGAAGCAATTGGCATTCTTACGGTTTTGATGGAAGTTGATGACTCACATGTTCATCTGCCAAGTGCATAAAGGGGAGTTAACACACTTTGCAGCAGTTTTCATTATATAAAACAATGTACTCTACAAAAAAGAACTGCAGAGTTCAGAAAAAATATTGTGTGCAGAGATTAAAAGTTCAGATTTTCCTGTGTCAGTTGTGGTGTAGAAAAACACTGCATACCTGCATGTAGTCCTTTTATAATGCTTGGCAGTGAGGTTTTAATGCATTGCTCCATCAAAGAGGTTGATCTCAGCATGCATGTGGTTATTAGCCACACGTGTGAAATAAGGAAAGTACCTCATAGGTGGAAGTGTCACCATTATTATCTGTACACTGTGCCCTTTTCTCTACCAGTCAGAGGATTGTTCTTTCAGGTCTACAGTGGGGTTTTTTTTGTATTTGTAAGAATATATTCTCTTGTTGCACAGTGAGATTTACAATGCAACATTTTGTGTCTGAGGGTAGGTCTTGCATTATTTCAGAGGATCATATCCTTTCTTTAATTCCCCGGATGACTTGGCCTTGGTGATTCTCCTCCATTGTGTTTTGAGAGTGGTATGATCTTGGTTTCTTCAGTTGTGATGTATCTACTTTTCTGTACTTCTGTCTTCAGCTCAGGGGTCCACAGGAACTACCTCTTGTTCATTCTCAGCAGCCTGCTCCTTTTCCCTTCAGCAGGTTGCTGTGGAGTTCTTGCTTTGCAGGTCCTGTATATATAATTCTTAATAACCCCTGGATGAAAGTCAGGATAGAGGGATATTCTGCGTGCTAGGCACAGGGAAATTTAGTGTAAAGCCACATTCATTATTAAATTCAGCACCTGAAACTAGCAGCTGCAATCAGAAAATCCACCCCAGAGAGGTGTGTAGTATTTGTTTTGCAGCCTTCCTAATATATTATTATATATTATCAAATGTAAATGCAGTTATATCACTACAAAAATGGCTTTATGGCAGAATATCTATTCATATTTTAAGCAAAATCTTGTTTTGAAAGTTCTCTTGCAAGGACTTGTGCTGTAAAATATTGGTTTAAAAAAATCTAGGGCTTGGGTTTTCTCTCTCCAGAAAGGGAACCTGCAACTGTGGGTCTGTGATGGTGAACCTTGTGTTGTGTTCTTAGTTGTTAGTGGAAAATGTTTCTAACATGAAAGTGCCATAATACTCTGTTCAAAATAAAATAGAAAATTAATCTGGTTGGTGGTGGTAGCTTTACCTCTGTAGGAATTCGTTAAAACTCTGTCCTCTTTGTGCCTCATATATGGTCCAAAGGTACTAGTAGTAATTGCAAATTTTATTGAGGTTGAATTTAAAAACATTCCAAAGTATATGTGAGATAATTTATTGCATTAAAGAGAAACAACATATTTGTGAGACTTTAAAAAAACATTTTAAAAAGCACATGCACAAATGTGAAAAAGTGGTTTGTTCAGAAATCAATTGTTTGATATATATATGTTTTTATTTTCAGTGTTTGGTGCTTACAGATCAGAGCTAATAAAAATAGCGAAATTTATTTTTAATATTTTTTGTCAACTCTAGACAAAATATGAGTTCTAGTGTACTTTTTAAAACTCAGGATGAGCTAACTGCAGGAAATGTTTTTCAAAAACTACTATAGAGCAAAACTGTATACCTTAAAAGGTCAATAGTTTCAGCTTTCTGCCTTCTAGAAGTCACTATAAGTGCTAGAAACCTAAAGGAAAAGAACCTATGGCACTAAAAACCAGTGAGGGTTGTTACTAGATAGCATTCCTTCAGATCTTAACAGCATAAAATCAACTAATTGGAGCTATCTTCCTAAGTATTATCAGATGAAGAAAGCATTTTTAATTGAAATAAATAAACCAGCACCAAAATGGTGAAGAGACATGGGTGCCTTTTTGTATGATGTCTCTTCTGCCTTTTTTTCCAGAAAGTTTCATGTCACCTGCTAGGTTTGCTTACACAGAATTTGTTTTTTAAGGAGGCTGTTCTCTCTTTGTGACTAACAAAAAGCAAACTCAGTCTGATGAAAAGTGCATTGCATTACTGCCTGACGATGACAGGACTCCTATGTGAGCATGTCAGAGGGAGCTGGTGGAACAGCAGCTTTGCAATAGGGAGCAGGAGCAAGAGAAAGATTAAAGGAACAGGGAAGGCAGATGTGTGTCTTTGCTGGTGGCAGGATCTCATCTCCTTTTATCTTGTTTAGGTTTCTCCTCTGCCTCCTACTTAAAGGTCCATGTTAAAACCCACCACGGTGTTCCCCTTCCCCAGGTCTCCAGGCACCAGGAGTCCATCCCGAATGGGGGAGCAGCGTTCCACTGCGTCAGGACCTATGGCATCAAAGGCAAGAGACTCGCTGCTCTGCACCTTGCTGCTCTGTGCAGAACTTTGTGTTGTGGGGTGTTGGGCTGGGCACGAGAAAGGGGAGGGAGGAAGGACAGGGAAAATACTGGAGAGAAGCTTAGGGAGATGCAGAGAAAGTCCATAGCATCACGTAGGATGTAATACCTGTCATTGGATAGCCAATTTAACAAGTCTAGAGGAAGGAAATGGACACAGAAGAGTATGTGAAGTTTTGGTAGCTTCTTCAATTTGGAAGATTGAAAAAGCCATGTTAGTTCATCTTGAGCATCTTCCTTGGAGCAGTCAGCATCTGAACTTTGCCCAAGGGCAAGTTTGTTAGTCTCACTCCGCTTGAGTCTCGCGTCAGTCATACCCTGTTTCTGATTTTAATAGGAACCATACTGTACATGCAGCCAGCTGTCTGTAGCTAAACTTACACTTCTAAATGCAGTTGTTGGGGAGGAGAGGTAAAGGGTGGTAATAGCACTGGTGCTTTCTTGTTGGTTTTGACATTCATTCAGCTTGTGGGGGGGAGGTGAAAAAGATGTTATTGTAAGCATAGCTGAGGAGTATTTAGCTTCTGAATAAGTAAAGCAGTGTGTTTACCTGTGTAGAATAGTTTTTTTGCTTCTTGGCTTGAGCTGTCAGTATTCCTGGTGAAAGTGAAACAACAGAAAGTTCTTCAAAGCCACAGTTGTTCTGTTTCTTTTCTTGCCCAAGAGAGCACAGTGGGCTGGGTTAAACAAAGTGTGTGCCAGCAGAAACCTTGAGTTGTGTAATTTTTTCTGTTGAAGTCTTGATAGAGTTATTAAGAAGCCCTTTAGTTTTGGGTGGTGTGCTGACTTAACAAGAGATTTATTCCAGCTCAGTGGTGTATTGATTTCATGCATATCCTGTTAGGTTTGTAATGCTGAGTCCAGAGCAGATCTGTCTTTTGGGCTGTGCCAAGTGGTTCTTTGGTGTCTTAGAGTTAATAGTAGCTACAGTCTGTTTGTATCCAGAGACTCCTTTAGTGAGCACGTCTGGGTTTCTCACGCTCATTCACATGCACTGAGCAAAAAAAGTGTGGACAAATTTCCTTGGCATAATGCCAGAGGAGAATGGGGAAGACTCCAAACATACCAATGGCTTTGCCAGGACATATACCCAAATAACTTAGAAACATCCCTAACCTCCCTGCTGTTTCACACTGCAGTATTTAAAGATAGAACAATTTTAGGTTGTGAAGTGAACTTCTAACAGTGTTGCACTTGTAAAAAAGAGTTCCTTGAGACTAAATGGAATTGCACTTCTTAAATTGCAGTAGCGCACTGCTGTTTTGTTGAATGTTTCCAGGTTTCTTCACATCTTGCTGCACCTGTTGTGCTTCATGAAGTTTCTAGGCTCTCCCCCAAAGTATCAACAACGTTTCAGAAGTGTGCAAGTGAATTGCACAGTTGAAAATGCATCATTAGGTCTATCCTTTTGTAGTGTCTGAGGTGTAAACATTGTGAGACATCCTTGGGATTCAAGAAGTGAATAAACCAGAGACCCATTATGGTTGCATTCAGTATCATGACAAACCCCTAATGAAACCCCAGCTGTTGATAGCAGCCTGGTGGTTTGGAAAGGGTTTTAGAATATGAGGGATTGGATGTTAAGTGTGTATCATTCTGTTGTGACAGGCATTAACGTCATCAGGTGGTAACCAATCTGATTTATTTTAATGCATGTTAAATATCTTCCTTTGGGAGCTAAGATTCTGAAAACTTCTCTCTTTTCTTTTTCCCGTAGAAGGCCAGAAATGTTCACATTCGGACCCGATTGAGAGTTCTGATTCATATGGAGACCTCTCTGACACCAGTGACCTCAAGACTCCTGAGAAACAGAGCACCAATGGGTCCTTCTCCTGTGACCTGGCAGTCAGCAAAAACAAAATGGAGACAGAAGGAGAGAAGAAGTACCCGTGCCCTGAATGCGGCAGCTTTTTCAGATCAAAGTCTTATCTGAACAAACACATACAGAAAGTTCACGTCAGGGCCCTTGGTGGCCCACTGGGGGACCTGGGTCCTGCTCTAGGATCCCCCTTCTCACCCCAACAGAACATGTCTCTCCTGGAGTCGTTTGGGTTTCAGATCGTCCAGTCAGCATTTGCATCATCCCTAGTGGATCCAGAGGTCGACCAGCAACCAATGGGGCCAGAGGGGAAATGAGATCAGCTGGATCTTAACAAAACAGAGCAGCAGTCTGGCTATAATGATAAGATGCTGTGAATGAAAGAGGAAATAATGAAATTTGGTTCTATAGCTGAGAATTTTTTATTCATTTTAGTTTCCCTCTTTGTCTCATGCCCTACCCCACCTTTAAACCTTCACTGGGGAGAGGGAGAAAATGCTTCTTTAGCTGATAAATTACAGAAGATGGTGGCCTTGAATAGGAGGTATGACCCAAAACAAATGGAGCATTAGAGGCTGCTGCTGGTGTTTTCTTTGTGTTCTTCGAGAGTAATCAAAAGTTACCAGCACTGGTCTGAGAATGAGACAGTCCTAGTAACCGAGGCACCTCGGGAGCTGCAGCTACAGGGAGCTGTGATTTTGTTCTCTCTCTATTCCCCTGCCCTCCCTAAACTCCACCAGAAAAACAGTAAGTTTAAAAAACACACCCATTATTGAATATAATGTTGAATAAAATGCCCCATGGTTCCTAGCAGGTTACAATGCAGTTGTCCTTTTAAAACCAGAAACATTTCAAGAAGGTGAGAGAATTTGAACCCCTTCTGCCTTTGTGAGGCTGTGAATGCTGCAGCAGGACTGAACTGCTGAAAAAAATCACCTTTCAGAACAGGTTGTTTTTATTACTTTTGACCATTAAACTTGCTGTCAGGTTTTTAATTCTTTATTATTATTATTTTAGGACCTGTTGTAGTGAATTGCTACTGAAAAGCCAGTCTAAGGCGATACACAGAACACTCACAAAGCAGCAGTCACATTAGGGTTAGTATTAATTTTTTTTTTAGATGTACCATAATTAATAACTTGGCTAGTTGGTTGTTTTAAGTCTATGAAAGAAATAGTTTTTATGAAAAAAAAAAAAGAAAAAAAAAAAAAAAGGAAGGAAAAATATCCTTACAGTCTGGTTGACTGGTGCTCATTTTTCATGTGGGGACCTAGGGGATGAACACGATCAGCTATCGGGTTAACACTATGTACCACTGACTTGTTTAGTGTGAATAAACCCAGGGGTTCACAGAGTGATTTTGGTTTAATTGGATTGGACTCTATTAAAGAAGTTAGTATGTTACTTTGCATCCCCTCGTTTTGTCTGGTTTTTGAGCAATTTAGCCACCTGTCCAAAAGGTGTGCAAATGAGAGCCAGTAAATAATTTGTGAATCCCACTCTGCACTGTTCTGTATTCTCATTGAGCTGGGCTTTTTGGCCACAGTTGTGCTCTCTTGATCTGTCTGTAGTCAGGTTTGCAAAAGCCACTGTTACTCCTTTCTTTTACAAATGAGGTGGGAATTGCAAACAGCATATCTTTGGAAATTAATTGATTACAAAATGCAAAGAAGCTGCACTCCAGGCTGTTGGACATTCCATTTAATCTGAAAATACCACTTGTGCAGAAATAATATCCTTTCATGACCCTCCCTTTCCTTCCATGTAACTAAGTCATGGTTTTATGTACCAAACCCAGGTATAAATGTTGTTTAACACAGGGTTAGGAGTTAGGAATACTCTGAGTTTTAATTATGGTTCTGCTGTTGATGCTCAAGGTCACATTTCCTGAATTTATTCCTCAGTTTTATATCTATGAAGAATCTTCTCTACATCATAATTGTTGAGAGGGTTATTGAGCAAAGGTTTAGCAGTGATTTGGTAAACTGCTTTGTGTCTTGAATGTTTCTAAAGGCCGCTCTGAAGAGCCCATGTCCTGCACCAAGCTTGCATCCCATGAAACAATATCTATGTCCATCATTAATGTAGTGCTGGAGCAGGACAGGCCTCCTTGGACCAGGTTCTCATTTGCTGCAGGAGATCTGTCTGTGTAAACATGCACAGAGACACAAAACTGTGTTTTACCACAGCCTGCATTGCCCAGGTGCTTCTAATTCAAATGCTGTAGCTGATGCTTAAGTGATACTCCCATTTTGTTTTTATGTTAGAATTAGAGAGCCCTTTGTAAGTATATGGATTTTGGAATGACATTCTAAATTCTACAGAGTTAGAAGACCCAGATTCCCTCTTGTAAGAAGCTACTTTTTGTACTTGCTCTCGACTATTATAAATCAAGGATGAATAATCAATGGCTTTCTCTTTATAGCACCAGCACTTTCTAAATTGAGAGCATGTTGCAGTGGACTTGATGTTTTGCTATTAATCTGTGTTGGGAGACTGAAGGACATGTTCTTCTCCAGTCATCTCCTCCCAGAATCCTGGAATAGGTATGAGCCTCATTTAAAAGGAAAAACCAATGAAACAAACAAACCCCACCACTAAAGCTTCATGGAATTGCTCTTGTTGTACTGGTAAGATTAGCAGACAGGTAAAAACAGAACATCTTAAAAAAGTGACAAAACATTTTAAAATACCTTACAAATCTAGTGCTGAGACAACCCTGTAAGCTGCCAAGCAAATCAGGAGAGAGCAGGTTTTCCAGTCAGCATAACAATTTGTTGGGATTAGCAAGGGCAGCTGCAGTCACTGATTTACTAATAGCTCATAATTAATCCACAAGGGATATTTCTGTTGAACTGAGGCTGTATGCTGAAAGACAGAAGGTTTTGTTCCCAGTGTTCCTATATGCACTCAAAGAAGGTGCATTAGTCATAAAATTCAACTCCAAAAGTTAAGTCCAGAGTACAGAATAGTTTCATCCTACATGTAGCTCTCTGACTTTAGCGTTACAAGTGGGTTGAATTTTGGCTTTCTCTATCAGAATTTAATTTTGAGTGCTACAGAATTTGACCTGGTGAAACAAAAGAAAAGCCTTTATCTGTAAATGAAGCCTTCTAAAACACTGTGTATTCTGCTTGTCAAAGAAAATGCTTACTAAGTTGTCATGAATACATTGAATAAAAACTACTTACTTCTCAGTCTAGTGGACAGGGAAACAATTAGGCAGGAGGTTAACAGTCCTGAAATGACAGTTCTAGATCATCCTAGTGTAAATGGGAGAGATTTGTACCAACACAGGAGGCTGGTGCAGGCTAGTGCCAGTAGGAGGTTGGGCAGATCTTTAGCTGTGGTGTGTTTTCAGTGCTTTTTGCTTCTTTGGGGGCATACCATTCCATTCTGGGCAGTAATTTAATCTACATGCAAATTCTTTTTATTCTGTACTTTGGGAAATGACTGTTTCTCATAGAACATGAGACAGATCCAAGCTGAAAACTCAGCCTCACAGTTCAGAGTTCAAAGGGAGGTATGTAGCATGCCCTGAGCTGCAGTTTGTTGCTATTACATTTTATTTTTAATTGGCGTGTAAGTGTATAAATGATAGTTCTGATTTGGGCCACTCTCCTTTCCTTGCCTTCCCCTTTGGAGGGACTGCAAGCCAATGTTTGAGTTGCTGCACATGTCAAGAAGGAAACTTCAGTTCATGCAAATTTATATAATCAGACTTATAGTATTTGTTTGTATTATAGGAGTCCCATAACCTCTTATCTGAGGCTCAGAGCCTTGTGTATTAGGTATGATGAAAACATCTTCAGATATTCATAATCTAAATAAAGACAGACAAGAATGGAATAGATGCTTATAAGAGAATGAGTGAAAGATAAAGGACTAAAAACCACTTGCATGCATGCTTAAGTGTTGTGTTAAATGTGGGGGCACAAACTTCAGGCTTCGTTTGTTGCCTGAATTTATAAATGTTAATCCGGAACAAATGCAAGGTGAAGCAATTTTAAGTGAATTTATTCCATACTGAGTTGAATTAGGTGACACAGCCTTGAATTTGTCGCATCTTAAATGTGTGCAAATGGTGTGGCTCACCTGACACATGGCAATGTACATGTGAGCTCTCAATCCTAAGTGATTTGCCCATGATGATATGGGAAATTGATAGCAGAACCAGAAATTGAACACAGAATTTTCCTTCTCTCAATCCAGTGCCTTAATTATAGTAGGGCAAAGTATTATATGTTGGGGGGATGGGTTTTTTTTTTTGGTTTTTAAAGCCTAGAACTATTAAGATGGTGTGGAGTTGGTCTTCCTGCCAATCTTTTGAATTATTGTAAATGCCCAGTCACAATTTTAGACCTGTTTGAGTGCCAGTGACTTAGGGAATATTTGTTATTTCCCATGTATTCCCTGAAATTATTGTTCCTCCCTCAACTGCTGTCAGCAGTAAGGAATGACTTGAATAGAAGAGCTGTGTAACTGAATGTCTATAACTCAACTAATTGAATTGCTAGTATGAAAGCTAACCTAGATTTTGTAGGCTCTGTTGTAACTTTAGTGTCTTGTTTTTTCACTAAATCTTTGTTCCTAGAATTCAATATCTAAACTTACGTCTTGAGTCGGGAGTGGGGTACCACTTTCAGCTTTAATTTTTTTTAAGGTGCTTGCTTGAGGAAGTAGATGCCAAAGTAAACTTCAAAGGAACTCCAGACTTCAGTGTTGGAAGAATGAATGGAGAACAAGAGCTCTCCTTGGGTTTCATGAGAGATAAATGGACAAAGTAAAAAAACAGCCACCAAAATTCTAAGTAATGAAACAGGAAAGGCTTTTCTTTACCACTCACAAAAATAATAAAATATTTTCAGTTGTCACCATGGCAGAACGTCTGAGAGCGAGTGCCAGACAGCACCATGGAATATGCTGGCTTTTTCAGCATTATGATTATACCTTAACAGCATCATCAATACCCAAATGTAAATTAAGCCAGCTTAGTACTGCTCACCTTTTTCTTGGGCACAATACCTTAGTGTTATTTGAATAGACCAGAAGCTCACAGTGAATCTATGAGCTTAGGCTGTCAGTTCTACCCTGAGAGACAAACCAAATGAGCAAAGAGGGGGGAAAAAAAACCACTAGGAAAACTTAAAAACAGATTCTGGAAGGCTCCAGTGTCTCCTGAAAGAGCCATGTTTTTTTATCCTGAACATGATTTTCAAAACAAGATCTTTCAGCTGTTGTGAATGAGCCCTTGGGAACAGATGTGGATTCCAGCCCAATCTGCTGCAGCTCCCTGTCTCTGTGAGAAGGCAGCATGTTCCAGAGCACTGAGCCTGGGAGCACAGGGAGGGACCAGGCAGTGCTCCTGGGCTGCAGGCACAGGTACTGCTACAGTCAGCACCAGCACTGGCAAAGGGTCGACTGGCTGCTGCCTTCACCCTCATCCTGTGCAGTGTGCTGCCTGCTCAGACGTGTGCAGCTCTGCAAATAACTGTTGGCTGTAAAACAAAGCAGGGAGCTATTTGGCTAAACAGAAAAAAGAGAAAGTACCACTTCAAGAGTGCTATGGCGTAAGTCAGTGATGCAGCCCAGGAGCCCTGGCTGTGAGGGGTTGTGGTGATGGTTGGAATGGTTATGGCACGTCAGTGAGAAACCACAGCTGTGCACTCTGTGGTGGCAGGCAGTGATGGCCTGCTTGCCAAGAATGAACACCCTGTGTCATCTCTAGCCTCTTCCTGTACTGTGTTCTTGTCTGTAAGATGAGATTATGATAACCTTTGGGTAAGAATGTGACATGCTAAATTGTGCTGCACAACTATGCTGCTGAACTCTTACAAATGTTTGGCCTCACTGACTTCAGGTGTAATGCAAAGTTAAACATTTGGCCACATTTTTCCTGAAAGGTGTGATACATAAATTAATTTATAGAGTGCCTGGCACTATTGATCTGCTCTCAGGGTTTATGTGAATGAAGCTTTTCCTGGGTGGCCTCCATACTTGTACTGCAGTTTTGGAGACCTGGAAGTGCTCTGACCTATGCTGAAGGAAGGAGGTAACTGGAGTCTCACTGATGTTCCAGTGACTCCCTCCCAGCTCCTGGGTTCCATGTGGACCATGGAGTCACTTCATGCAGCCACTGGCAGCCATAAATGCTCTTGAGCATCCTGCAGTCACATAGTGACCTTGGGTAAGTGATTTTATAATAAATCAGTCTTATGCTTGCTAATACCTTTTTGGCTGCTGTGTCTACAAACTGGTGCCTTCTCCAGGCAAATTTTACATGCCCTCTGCAAAGTTGTCAGACTGACTGCTGGCTCTTAAGGAATCAACCAAGCCTTGCTCTTGGGCTCAGAATTTTTCTTCGGTACTGTTGTAATCTGAAAGTTTGCTGCAATTAGTGCAAATACCAGAGTAAGAGAGAAAATAAAAGGCTGTTCTTAGATGTCTTGTAGAGTGAACAACTGAAACATGAGTGTGGGATGATCCAGGAAAACTGGCATTTTATCCCTGGCTGCACGCCATATGGAAGAGACAGTGCCTTGGAAGGGAAGGAGCAGAAAAGTTGGCCATTGGCTCTGATGAATCCCAATCCTGCTTCTACTGAAGTTGTTGGGAATCTTCCCATTGTCTTCAGTGGAGCAAGAAAGGATCTTAGGTGAGGATGGATGACTCTTTCCCTACTTGAATGAAGTCTCTTGCCTATTTATGGGCCTGCTTCTATTGAAACCGAGCCTGTTTTAGCCTTTTTGGGTTCTTAGGGACCTGTTTGTATAAAGCAACTTACCTACCTATCTTTTTTTTTTTTTTCTATTGTGTGTATTTTTTGTATGTTCTGTTGGAAGGTGAAGCCTCTGTAGAAGGGGATACAAAACCTGATTTTTAAATAGTAATAAACCAAAAGAGAATTAAACTCTGCAGGCTGCATGCATTCATTTCCTGAAGATGGAGAGTAGAGACCATGAGTGCACACAGAGATGGCCTGGACTTCTTGTATCTCAAAATCTTCCCCTTTTCAGAGACAGCTCTGCCTTTGCACATTTCCACAGCTCTATGTGAGAATTCATAGTGTGGTTGCAACATTGTGTATCAGGATGGTCTTATTTCCACTAGGAAATCCTTTCTCTGGCACTTTGTGGTGAGATTTCTTGTTTTAGGATAAGTGGATGGAGTAACAACTATCTGTGAAATTTGGTATTGTCTTCACTGAATGGCAGTGAAATAAAATTGAAGTCATATAAATAGAGTTTTGCTTCTGGCCTGCCTACCTCAGGTGTTGGTCAAATGCACAGTGTTTTAACTGCATATCCTTATATACTAAAGAAATAAGTGCAAGTATTGAGTGAAATTTTATTAAGCCTTGGTTTCCTCCTGGCTTTTTACCTCCTCATGGTGTTACCAGTTGGAGCCTTAACTATCTGAAAGAATGGCAAACTCAAGACCAAAATAACAGCAAAGGTTTGCCCTGTTCCTTTAAGTAAACATACCTAAAGGAACAGTGTCTTTGCTTTTGTAAAGAGATGTAAAAAAGTCCACGTGCCTATGTCAGTCATGAGAAAGGCTATCTCTGCATGCTTATGGCATGTGTGTGACCCAGTGAAAATACAGATTTGCCTTTCTACACAGGAAAGAAAGGGCAACTTCCCAAAATAAACAACTCCTCCCACAGCCTTCAGACAAACACCTGTGGACAGAGGTCTTCCACAGTACTTGTGTGCCAGTGGTTTTATCTGCTTTCAGATCAGCAAAGAAATAAAATCCAGAGGTGCCAGCTCTGCATTGTAAATGTCCCTGAATCCTGCACTTTATGAAGAAACAGCAGTAGCTCCCCTGCAAGATTTTGGTCTCTGCTTCTCTGCTCACATGTTGAATTACAGAGACCCATTACAAAATGAGTCTCTGCTTCTGTTCATATGTTGATGACTCCAGTCCTAGTCTCAGAGCCCTAGAGAGAGAAAAAAATACATGTTTGGCTTTTTTATGTGTTCAAGTTTATAACCTTACAGCCTTTGTGATGGCTTGGGATAGAGGTCACATGAGTGGTTGTGCTATTTAGAGTAGGAGTTTTGCATATTTAAGTGCAACTTTAACCTCATGAAATGTAACTATTACTGTGGTAATAGTCTGTTATTACTGAAGTTTAAACAGCAGAGTTTTGGGCTTTCACTTCTGTTTGACTATGAAATTGGCTTCCATGGTGAGTGAAAGATTAGTAGAAGGATGTTTAATAATCCCATCCAATTCACTGGAGGTTAATTTGGAAAGATAGCTTTATTCCTTTTGGCTGAAATCTCCAGATGTTTTGAAGCTGCCTTTTTACATTTCTCATGTGCAAATAATAAACAATTATTTTTAGATAGGCATTTTCTAACAAGAACAAATTGGGTTATCAGAGTGCTTAGCTTTGCCAGGTACTGCTGGGCACAACTGTGGTTTGAGAAACAAGAAAGTTACAAAAGTACTTTTATACTTTATAAAACAACCAAATGACCCATTCTCCTATTTTAATTAATTCCTGCATTAATACTTATTTGTACTTTCATCTAAGTCAGTACTACACATGTAGAACTTGAGAATATCTCATGCATATCTGTCTCCAGGATTCCTTCCCCTACAAAACCATTTCATAAGGTAAGTATTGGATGTCTGAATCTTTCAAAGCACTTTGCAGACATATAATCTTTTCTGCCTCTGTGACAAATAATATTAACATGGAAAACCAAGGCAGAAGCTTGCCTAAGGTCAGGCAAAGATCAGTTAAAGAATTGAGAGTAAGGCTCCTGTTCTTGGCTCAGACTCGTGTTCTCCAAGTAAATCACAGTATCTTTCAAAATAGCTTCCCTTCCTCCACCCTTCGAATGTGAGCTCTGGCTTTTGTCAGTAGCAGCCTGCATCTGTAGCAAAAAAACCCCCAATCAAACTAACCAAAAAACCCAACAAAAACCACTGCAACTGGAGACCAAAACATCTTCAGACAGCTGCACCCAATTGCTAACAATATTGCTATGGTTTGATGGTATCCTGCTACCGGACACACCCACCCACTGGACAGCAGGTAAAGCAGTCTGTGATCCATGGGAATGCTGCAGCCAGGGAAAGAGCTGAGGGATGATCCATGGGGACCTTTGCAACCGCTACAATGGGCCAGTGTGAACACAGATGTATGTCAGCACTTGGGCCCTTCAAAACTGCTGAGAAAACTGGAAAGGCACTGGGCAGCTCTTGACAAAAAAGGGGAAAAAAATGATGCTGTTAGAGAGAACTCAGTGTGTGAAATTTCTGAAATCACTGATTGCCGAGAGTATTTAGTGCTAATCTCTTAATGCTGGAGAAGTGTTACTGCGGTTCTCTCCAGTAAACAATAGGACCTAGATTGCCCTTCCGAGGCCTCTGGCCTTTTATTACAGCCCACACAGAAAACTCATCTGAGAAAGCCCTCTTGAGTTAGTGGAGCAAACTCTGAACCAGTCTGAACCAGTTCAAATATCGCATACGGTTGTTTTGCTTCTGCAGACTTCCTTGTTAGTCCTTGGAGGCTGTGGCTGGCATTTACTTAGCAATAGCTCATGCTGTCAGACTGAAGGGGGAGGAGAAAGCCTCTCCTTGAGCATGTCAGCAGCGCGATGCAACAGTGCCAGCAGATAACTCCTGTCCCTGCACACCGACTCTTTGTAGTCACTGCCTCTGTCGTGATTTTTTGGTTATACTCGGCTCAGTTTCATAAAGTCAATATCTGATCCTTTTGTTACAGCCCTGATGTTCTTCTATTACATTCAAATTGTATCTAGGTTAGAAATGAAACACATTTATTTCCAACTCCTACGTCATTGCTTACAGAAGGCTTTTTACAGTGAGACCCACAGTTGTTTTCATGATCAAGAGAGAAGTAACAAGGAAATCAAACCCCTGCTTTTGTTGGAGTTGCAAGTTCTCAAGTACTTAATAGTGTTTAGTCATATTCGATGCTTGCAGCTTTTTAAGCTTAAGTACAAACTGCTCAAATATTCTGTTCCTGGTGAGGTCTCAGAATTGTACTACCATTAGTCTCAAGCATTTCCATTTATGAAAGAAGCAGAAAATTGAGAAAAATGAGTTTTGGGCAAAACTGGAACAATTATTTTGGTTACCTAGGAAGAAGAAAGGGGAGATTATGGGAACATGACGTATGTCCTGTTACAAGGAGGGCAATGGTCAACTTTTTCCATTTTAAGCAATCTATGTTAATTTGGCTAGGAAAGATTACTCAGATTAGAAAACTCATTTTGTTTACTCCCCTCAGTGTCTTATTTACTAAGATTAAGTAATAAAGCATGTTAGTTCTTGCATAGGAGGTTAGATGAACTGCCTGGCAAGATCTGAACACACTTGGCTATGGCCAGAGAAGGAGGGTGGGTTTGATGGCTTCTTGAGGAGTCATTCCAGAGCCATAGATCTGGGGCTGCCTCCCTTGGCACGGAGTGCTGTGCTATATGCTAGATGCTTTTTGTTTCTGTTTATTTTTAATAAAAATCTCAAAACACTTTGAATTTTTCCACAGGTGAAAAAGTAGAACAAACAAGAAAGAGCAGCTGACAGGAGAGAGAGAAAGCAGACATTGTTCATTCTGCAACCTGTATAAAGAAAGGTAGCAGCTCACAGCTGAAACTGCTTCACACTGAGTTTAGGGAGAATGCTTAATGTCCCTTATTCCTAAAAATAGTGTATATATTCTCCTGTAAAACGTGGGGATGTGTTATGATACATGTACGTGTATATACCTACAGATGTCTAAGTGTAAACTATGTGAAGTAGTAGTTGCAAAGCTATTAACTTACTTATAGTTTGGGTAGTTTAAAATCAAGTCCTAGGAAATAATGTCATGTTTAATCTCTAAAAGTGTAATAAGAAGAGCAAACCCATTCCCAAGCAGCAGAAAGAGCAATTGAGTCTGCCTCTGACAGCTGCCACCTGGCATCCTATTAAACTTAACTCTGTGAAACTGCCAGGCATAAATCTTCCCTCATCCTGGAGAAAGCTAGAGATGAAAGAAAAAATTATGCTTAGAAGTCAGTTGTGGGAAAGACTTTGATCTTTACCATTAATGTGAAGGTTTTTGCATTTCTCCCAGATTCCTCATTGTCCTTCTGTGGACTAGAAACTCAAATTGTTTGCTGGAACTTGGCTGGGTATAATGAGAAGTGCAAATTTATCTTGCTCCATAGTAGGAGAGAGAGCTAAGAAGGTCTGAGATTTGTTTCCACAGAGATTACTGCAGTTCTTGGATCAGTTTGTACAGAAGGAGGTGCTTTATGTGCTGGGTGACATGGAAGCATTAGTATCATGAAATGAGCAAAAATAAATTAATTGTGCAGGTTGGCAGTCCATCTGCAGTTTTAGACAGGCAGTGCCTCTGGATGCATGTGTGGCCTTGCACTTTCTGCTGAATGGAATTTGTCCCATAAAATCTGTGATGAAGAGCTATTGCAAACAGGCAGCTTGATTGAATAGCCCTTATTAAAAATTCTTGCTGACTCCAGTTAGCGTTGCCTTTACAGAGAGTAACTGGAGAGCATTAGGAATGCAGTAACAGGGTGTCTGTGCAGACAATGAGTATAATGGCACAAAGGCTGCATCTTAGCTGGTGATGTCAGTAGCACTGGCACATATGGTTGGTTTTTGGTTTCCTGTTTTGATTTTTTGCAACCATTTTTTTTTAATCTGACATTACTAAACTAAATTTTCTGTAGTGGTAAATCATGTTGTTAAAGCGTGAGTCACACAAATGAATGCTAAGACCTGTGGTTTCATACTTGGCGGTAGAGCTGCTTAATTGACCAGTTCCCTCGTTACCCATCTATCATGCTGGTACATCTATGTTTTTGTGGACTGGATGCAGCAGGTGACCTGGCTGTAAAGGGCTTAAAGTGTTCATGACCTGGTGAAAAAGGAGCAAAAGTTGGGTTAGGCCAGAACCTTGCACAAGTTTGTTATACAATTACCTGCAGCAGCCTGACAGAGAGCACTGCCAGGATGGAAACATCTGGGAGTGGAAGGGAAAGACCACTGCTCCAGCCAGGACTGCCTTAAAAAGTGATTCATCAAACACTGAAGCAGCTTTCCTGGCATAGAAATACTTCTTATGTGTTCGGTGGTTTCCATGTGATTTCAAAAAACTTTAAAAGAAGGGAACTTCCCTGTCCTATTTTAAGAAGGAAGGTTTGATTGTACCTCAAAAAAAAATGTAACAGAAAGGGAAAGCACAAAGAAGTGAAGCAGACAGGTTGGCCAAGGTCAGGAAGAACTCTGTGGGAAAGCCAGAAATAGCACCTTGTACTGCAGGCCTGTGCCTTGGCTACAAACCCATCAGTTGCCCAGGCTGCCTTTGCAAGTTCACTGTTGAACAGGCCCAGCTATTCAGTGGCTTGCTTTTCACTGGTGTAAAATAGAAACAGTGCTGAGGACTCCAGATGCTTGTGTACAGGCACTGGAACTGCACTGTCTGAATCCCTTGGCATGTTCAGAAACAGAAGTATCTATTGTAAGCTGTGTGAAATGTCTGCAGAGAGGCTTTATCACAGTGGCTGGATGCCTGCAATACAACTACTCTAAACCATCTTCCTGCCGTTTACCTTGGTTTTTTTTCTATAAGCAGGCACAGCTCTTAGAGTAAGTACATGGAGTCAGTGAGAAGTAATGGATTAGCAGAGGCAAGAATATAAACTCCTTTAAGGTGGAGGTGCACAGCCTCCGTGGCAGTGTGTAACCCCCACAACTTCTCTTTAGAGCTAAAAGGGAATCCAAAGGCAGAATAAGGACAGCAGGATTTAGTCCTTCGTGGTAATCCTCTAGGAGGGAGAGCAGTTTTAGGTCTCTGAAGATAAACACTTTTCCTGCCACAGGCAGTGGTTCAAGCGTAGTTCCGTGTGGAAAGTCTCCTCTTCTGGTCTAAGACTTTTCCTGCGACTGTAGGAGAAAAGCACAGGGACGCGGAGTTCTCGAGCCAGAGAGCCCCGCGGCAGCGAGCACCCAGCGCCGTGCTCGGTCCCGGGGCCAAGGACCCTCTGCAGGTTCCCGGCTGCCCCAGCCCTGCCCCGCGGCAGCCGCCCCTTCCCCTCCTGGGGGCGGGCGGGCGGCGGCGGCAGCGTTAGG